ACACACACATCGCTACGTAATGCTAGAATTAAATGAGATTTTTTATTAGTTTTGGTTGAACTGACCCTTTAAAGATCGTTTAAGGTATTTGGTTTACACAACTCTTGTGCCATTATGATCTTTTTATAAAAAGTGTTTTGACGATGATCCTCAACTGAAAATAAAAAAGCAGAGTGCAGCTTAGAGAACACGAGTCTGAGAGTAAAATGTTGCTGACTGTTTTCCAAGAGGTTTACATGCTGTGTTTTCTGTTGGTACACACTCAGCCCGCAGTAAAACAGGTCATGCTGAGCTGCTGAGCTGGTGTAGATAAGACAGAGATGAAGAGAGACTGGAGGTCGTAACCACCGTTATTTAACCCCTGCTGTTCATTACTCTTGGTGCAAAACCGAACAAGCCTTCACGCACACACCTCATCTAGAATAACACTAGAGCCATGATCACCAGGAGGGACTGTTCCATCCTGCAGCACACTCATCGTGGACAGTGGACATTTGAACAACATGCCTATTGTAGCCATGACACGGGAGCCGATTGTGTGTCTGAGAGCCCACACTGACAATCAAGGGAAACATCTAGAGAAGCGCCTTTAAGGAGGAGAAACTAAGAAGGGGGATCCTCACTGGTTTGTGATTTTATTCAGAGACTTTTATAGGGTGAAAACAAAACAAAAACTTTTTTCACAAGTTGCCCCGATTACAGCAAGAGTGTTAGAGAAAATACATTTTAACTTGATCATGAAGTCGCACACTTGCAGTCTGTGTGTATCAGGGCCTCAAGTGTCTTTTACAGTAACAGATGTGCCTGAGGACTCGGGCAGAGCAGGTGAACAGCTCTTCATGAGGAGCTTGACTCATTCAATCCCACTTGTTCTGTTGATTGACTGGAGTTTAATGCAGCGACTGTTCATAAACACGACTGGGTAATGGTGGTTTACAGTGTTACAACAATAAGAACATGAAACTGCCGTGGTACAGTCCTTTCTCTCAGACTGTCTGGCTTTTGCATGCAGTGTTTTTAAAACTCATTAAAACAAATGCCAAATATGTCAGAGTGTGAAGTTATTGGATGCCCTGGAATTTGCAGCTATAATGCAGGAGATTAAATGCTAAGTATAAAATGTGAATGTGTGGGTGGTACGACAGAAAACATCAGGGAGGAGACAGACAAAAATATATTCAAAGAATTTAAAGTTTTCTTTTATAAAAGATCCACATATCAGTAATTAAAATGATGAAGTTATTAATTATACCCGCTTTATCCCAACGAAAGTAGTTCAAGACAAAATACTCCAATAAAAGTGTAACCTTTGATGTACTGTAAGTACAACTGATGTAATCAGTTTCAATAGTTCAGACTTCACTGGGCCACATTCAGTAACGTTTAGTTTTCTCTTTACTTCGAATCAACAGAATATATCTTTACACAAGCACAGGACACGAGGAGGTGGATGTCATAATCAGACGCTTTGAAAAGTCATGTAAATGTCTAATTCAAGAACGAATAAGTTAAACAGACAATTCATTTAGATTTATAGTATGATTTAAATGGTGCCAATATTTACAATCAAAGGTTAACATTATATCAAGTTGTACAAAATTACCACATTAATCAAAACGTCCTTTTCACGTCAAAAATCAGTCTTTAAATAATGATCCGCCTCGTTGTTACGACCTCCAACAGCGTCAAGTTCATTTATTTATTTTAATCACACACCCAGATTACAGACAGACCAGAGCCATACACACTGATCTGTATATGTTATCGAAGACGCCTCAGTGACTATATGTTGCCTGGCAACAAAAAAACTGTTTCCAAAAATAGCTGAACAAAGGGCAGTGTGAGAACCGTAATTCAGATAACACTAGTTCTGACGACTTCCACTACCGAGTCTTAGTGCCATTGATCGGTTTTTGCTCTGGAGGCAGATGTAGAGAAATCCACCTCAACCACGGTTTCAGTGCTAACCTGGAGCATTCGCACCCTAAACCACGAGACTGCCGCAGCATCATACACAGTGTTACAGACACGGCTGGGACGATCATTCCGCAACAAAAAGGCCCTAAATCTGCTTTCCAAATGTTGTATTGCAGTTTGAGAAACTCCTGCCTGTCTTTCCTCTTAAATCTTTTATTGTTCGGGTGTATCAGTGAGTGGCAGTCAAACAGGTTCTTAAACACAATCAGCCTGTCCAGTCAAATATGTCTCTCCAGCCCTGGAGGTGGTTGAGGATTATCTCTACGGTGGCAGTTAATGAAGACAGAAAAACATACAATCCTGTTTTACCAGCTTTCTTCTCTCACTGGTTACTCGTCCAGCTGAGGCACTTTTGGTGTTTGAGACCTATCACAGTGTTGTGCTTGCTTTTTTTAATCTCCCTCTTCACTTATCCTGTCCCAGCCTGCTTACCTCCCCGCCTCCAATTCCTCCGTTCCTCCATTTTGCGATCACAATATATGATAAAGACCTTTCCCCCTCTTTTTTTTTTTTTTTTTTTTTAAGTGGTCCCCCAATTTCATAATCCCCCTCCTCCCCCTCTTATCACCCCCCTCTTCTCCCGCCCCCCACCAGTCAGTTTTTTTAAATCCCTGTCCTCTTTTCCCCTCCTCGTCTTCACGCTTCAACAGGACCTCCCGCTGCTGCTGTGGTGTCAGCCGTGAATGTCCTACTATGCCCTGCTGGGGTTGGGGGATGACTTGCCCTCGTAGCCATACAGGAAAGTGGCCATGATGACCAAAATGGCCCCTAGGAAGAACACGCTGTGGAGGAGAGCAGACGACTCAATCAGCTGGAGAAGTTGCGATTGTGAGAAAGAAAAACTGAGATCATAAAAAAAAATACACAGAGGGGAGAGAGAGTGATTGTTTCCTCTACCCAGTGGGGTCGAAGTCCTGCAGCCAGAAGTACGATATGAGAGTCGACAGGATGATGGAGAGCGACGTAGCAAAGCCCTTGAGGATGTTGTCTGCATACTTGATGACCGCGGCTATGACCAGACCTCCCAGGGCCTGAAGAAACAACAAACACACAGACAGATGGACGAAGGCATGACCTGCACAGGCCGACAGCGAGGCTGCTCCGCCGAATAAAGAGTCTGTTGCTTCTCTGGTGAGAAACAATTATTGAAGTGAAGTGAGAGTTACCTGCAGCGCAACAACAGCCCAGGTGACTTTATTGTAGCCCTGGAACATTCCTGACTCCTTCACCCTCTCACCGTCGTAGGCCATCATCCCAAAGAGGCCAAACACAAGACCAAACATCCCTGAACACACACACAGACACACCTTTCGTATCTCGCCACTACACAAAAGCATTAGGACTATATTGAAGAAAAAAGAAAGTCTTGATATTTTAAGAGTGTAGTCATAATTAATTAATTTAATTTTTGGGGGAAATAACCAGCAAGAAGAACCCAGACCTTTCCTCCTTCTGGACAAAAACCTTTAACTGGCCTTTATACTCTGTCACACCACCACTACTTTGTTTCTCTCACCTCTGTCTCTGATAAAGCTTCAACTAACAATTGTTTTTTTTATCATTTTTGATTAATGTGTCAATAATTCTTCAAATTACTTGTTTTGTTGGAGGCCACAAGCCCAAAACATCCGGTTGCCAATCCAACGAAACAGAGAAAAGTTAGACAAATCCTTTTATTGATAATTTCATCAACATTACTAATTGATTTTCCAAGTGATTCAGCCTTAAATTCTTATTTCCTCCATTTCCTATTTGATGACATCACCTTATAACTACTAAGAAAAATAACACACAGCCTTTTCTGCACTGCTCTTGTTCTTGGCTCCAATATTGTAATGCAGGTGAAAAAGCTCCACGCTCACACCAGGAATCGCAGGAGACTGAACACATGCCTCACACGTTCCAGGGTAAAAATAAATCAGACGGGAACATTCATCTTAACAGGAATGTATCGCAGGTAAAAAAAAACTAAAAAAAACAAAAAAAAGCCCAGCTGGATTTCTGTGCAGGGAAGAAAACTGTGCACGAGAGCTCACTGTAGAAACATGGTGCAGGGGCCTGTTTCAATCTTCCTTGTTGATGAATGTGCATTAATCAAATCAAAATGCTTGCAGAGGTTATGTTTATATTTCTGTCGTCAGCGTTTTAACACTACTCTTCAGTATATTGAGTAACATTTACAAATTCCTGCTCACACCAGACAGACTGATTAATACTGACCTAGCTGGATGTTGCGGACCCACACGCTCTGTTTGCTCTCCTTCAGAATCTTCTCAAAGTAGACGCCAGCGAAGCCACTGGAGCAGCACGCCACCAGGACGGCTGCCACACCAATAAACTGGGAGCCTGTGGACAGCGCTGCCTTCTCTGTATTATCAGCAGGAGAGTCAGAGGGCCACTGCAGGCGCAAGACAAACGTGCAGATTATAATAAAACACAAGGTTGAAAGTTCATTATGAACCCTGGAAACAAGTGGTTTAATTCAAATCTATTTCATTTTCCACATTTTGTCTTTTCAACTGTATCCTCTGATTTCATCAGCAGATGGAAATACCGAATATAGATTTAAAAAACACAGAGAGGTCAAACAGCAAACTCCAACCACCAAGGAAGATGAGACACAGTGGAAAGTTGTGGAATGGCTGGTAAGAGGTCATTAGGGTTAAATAAAAGTTTAATGTTTTTCCATTTAATGGTTGGTTGGTTAGTTTGTAAGCAGTATTACATAAAAACTACTGGACAGTTTACCAAGAAACCTCGGAAGGACGCGGTATGGGTCAGGGAGGAACACATTCAATTTCAGTGCAGATGTGGATGAGGGATTTATTTTCACTTTATTCACTAACATGACAAAATTGATTACTTAGGGGACGAGAGTTTTTCCTCTTCCTTTTCCTCTCCTCTTCGACTCGAGGGTTAAGAGCTGAGGATGTCGCACTTTGTTAAGCCCTATGAGGGTAATGTGATTTGTGAGTATGAACTGTATGAGTAAAATTAGTTTGATTAATTGATTGACTGTTGGGCATTGACTATATATTTTATTTTTTAGGACCATACTAAACATGTCCAGTCTCAAGCTAAACTTAACACTGTAAACTTGAATCTATGAGACATACATAAGTGGTTTTGATTTTCTTATTTACCCTCTGCACACAAGTGAATGAGCACATTATTGCTGCAAAAGGAAACAGAACTACACATGAGCAGTGTGTCATTATAAGCAGACGCAAAACAGAACTTATGAGCACTAACTACCAAAAGAAGCATTTTTCTTTACAAAATATTTATGAAATGTTTAAGCTCAAATAATCATTGCAACGAAAACATAATCCAAACAATCACATTAGAATCTCTCTCCGATGCTGGAACTAACAAATCACACCCAGGTATTTCACAACTTTGCAGATTTGTAAAAATGCTGCAGACTGCGAGTTCCTGCTTCATGTGCAGCAGTAAGCAAAAAAAAACATGGTGTTAATGCAAAAGAATAAAAATGGTCAAAGACCTATTAAGAGATATATTGTAGGTGTATATTTATGTATTTAGATAAATAAGATGGAGTTATTCTTTGTTAAAACTCATTTCAATAAGTGAAGTGAGAATTAACAGCACAAACCTTGAAAAGTGAAAATGAAACGCTGCATTAATGAAACCAATTTTTTCTTGCTAATCCGTTGCTCATTAGCTCTTTATATGTTTGTAGGCGATACTGTTTGCAAACAGAGCAGTTGCTCTGGCTGCGTGTTAGCATCACATTTTGTCGCCCCAGGTACACTGAGAGCGGTGAGCGTTTTCTTTCTGGTTGATCCAGTTATGAGGGTGTAGCTTCATCCCCTCCTCCTCCTCCTCCTCCTCCTCCACTGTGCGTCAGTGCGAGCTCTCACAGAGCATTAAGATCACATCCGGTATCATATCAATTGACTGGCACCCCCTTTGTTTTGCCAAGGAGGAGGAGGAGGTGATTCTACAACTGCTTGTCTATTCATCAGCATACCATTAACACAGAGCAAATATTTATTCATCAAGTCCAGGCCTCTTTGTTTTGTCTTACGGTATTTACTTAGCATTCACATAAGAGCACTTGGACATTGCTGAGGCACCTCCTGTTTCTCTGGCACATCTTGTACTCTGAACCTGGTAAACTCAATAGCATGACTTATGATTTGTAAAGGCACGCAGCTGTCTGTGCCGTACAGCTGACGATGCACTTCAGAGCTACAGCCGAGCCTCGAAAGGAGCTGCCTGCAGAGCTCAGAGACAGGACGGCGTCCAGGCACTGACCTGAAAAGGCAACACAAAAGTTTCCCAACAGCACAGTGTTCTCCATGAGTCTTCAATGGAAGGAGTGCAGGTGCAGGACTGAGACTGGTTCATCCATGACACCTCCTCAAGGCTCCAGTGATCATGCAGCCAGAGCTACTGCTTTGTTTGAAAACGACTCTCCTACTAACTATCAAACAAACAAACAAACAAAGAGCTAATAAGCAACTGAACTGCTAAGAAATTGATGTTTCATTAATGCAGCATTTCCTTTCACTTTTCATTTTTGAAGGTTTGTGGTGTTAATTCTAACTTCCTACAGCTGGCTGCCAAACCAAATCCCACCCCTGTGGGAGAAGAGCCTGTAAGAGAAGTGACAAGGAGTCACTGGTCACTCCAGCTGAGCTCTAGAGATCCTGTGTGGAGAACCTTCCAGAAAGACAACCGACTTCAGGGCTTGACACCTTTAACAGTTTAATCTTGGTTACACCAGACTGGAGAATGTTGTTTCTCACAGTCCGAGAAACCTTTAGGAGCTTTTTTCCCTGAGGACAGGTTTCTGTCTGGACACACTGGACGAAGGAAGAAACTGTATTGGAGCAGATCCAGTTAAACTAGGATGCTAGGATTTTTTTTTTAACTTTCTTCAACATGGCGAGATGGGACATTGGTCAGAGTGGAGATATGTGCTCTCCAAGTGCCAGTCTAGTCCTGAGGCAAACTATACATTTTTGCTATAAATGGATATATACGCTAATTAGTAGTGGAATAAAAGGCTTAATTTAAACGCTGCTGCTCATAACAAGAGCTAAGAGACTTCTATTTGTTTATTATTTTTCCATTAAGAAGATATTCTGTGGTTTTTGAGATGGTGAAAACAGCTGTTAACATTCAAAACACTTGGAGGTTGTACCAGACCTGCACGAAAGCCACTCCTGCCATAAGAATGAGTAAAGAGAGCCACTGGTAGATGCCCAGCCTGCGGCCCAGCATGGACACTGAGAACAGAGCCGTGGTCAAGATCTTCAGCTGGTACGTCACCTGATGGAGGCAAAGTGGGAAAACTTAACAAAATAACAAAATGATCCATGTGAAAGAATGATGTGCTTATTTCTAGAAAGCTCAGAGACAAATCAGCTCTTCTGTGTGTTGTGAGTAATCTAATTTTCCACCAAGTGGCCTCCAAACCCAACCTGCTCTCATGCTGTACCTGGTATGTGGCAGCGTCGAGGTTTGACAGGGCGACGTACAGCAGGTTGTTCTGCAGTGTGTAGATCCCTGAGGGGATCGCCAGCTTCAGCGTCTCTATGGGTTTTTGGATGATTTCCTGGCGCAGGATGCTGTTCAGAGCTCGTAAGCTGTAATCTAAGAAGTGAAAACAGCCAAGTCAACTGTTGGGCCGTGGTGTGGGTATGTGCTCTAGTTTGTGATGTGATTTTAGTCAAAGAAAAAAGCATATGTGAGGTTTTGGTGATTTTTTTGTTGTAAATCAATGTTGATCTTTATCGACCTCCACCAAGGAGGTTATGTTTGTTTGTTAGTTAGCAGCATTACACAAAATCTACATGAACGATTACCATGAAACTTGGTGGAGGGATGTGGTACGGATCGAAGAAAACATTAAATTCAGGAATCCAGGAATTGCTTTTCTCTTTCTTTAACATTGTGAAATAGGAAATTCCCACTGATTTCCAAGGGAATCATTCATCGATCTTGATATAAAAAAGTTTTTTTTCTAAAAGTGTGTGAAATTTGGTGAACTTGTTAAGATTTAAGCGCTCTGTTGAGCCTTAGCAAAGAGTATGTCAGTGTCATATTGATTAGAAACAACACAATCAGTCAAAATATATATAATTTTAACTAGTGTTTAAATAATAATATCATTGACCCATATAACATAATAAACATAATAATTATTTGCAGCCACGTGATGAGGGTGAGGCAGACTCACTGTGCTCCTTGAAGACCAGCAGCACACAGGCGATGATCTTCATGACCTCGGCCGCCACCACAGCGGAGGAGGCCAGGTACCGCGGGCCCTCCGCCTGCAGGGTGCGGGAGTACCGCATGGTGAGCACCAGGGAGGTGGTCTGGAACACCAGCACGCCCAGAGACAGGTACTTCAGCCGAGGAGAAGCCATGGCCACAGGTCGGTGGGTAGCTGGCCACAGAGGAGGAGGGGGGGGGGGTATAATTCACGTTGGAGGATAAATATAGAAGCACAGAGGAATGGAAGCAGGTGTTCAGACAGTAAAAGAGGATTTTACTCGCAGCTCTCACCTTCTTCTCTTCTCTTCCTCTAATGGCGCCTTGAAAGCAACTTGACAGACGAAGCTCAATGTCTCTGGAGGAAAATAAAAACCTCTCTGCTGTCTCTCCGTCTCAGTCCAGGTACTGGAGGCTCGACCCAGCTGTCAAAACAGCTGCACCTCAGCTCCTGGAGTCCATTGACCGCTGAGCTCCGCGGATGTACCGTGCGCTCATTCCAGCTCACCGCCGGCCAGGGCTCTCCCGCACACCGCCACAGCTCTCACCGCCATCCCGCTGTCACCCACCGCCGCCGGAAAACCAGGATTTAAACACAGAGGTGAAGATCTCTGAAGGAGAAGATCTCTGACATGCACAAAGTTCAGGGGAACTTCCGTGTACAGGGTTTCTTCTTCTTCTTTCCGTCAAAGCTCCCTGCGTGAGTCAGCGCCACCTGCAGTTCCGGAAACGAACTGCACTGCTCATGCGTATCAGCCATCAGCAGATGTTTTATCTTTTGTTTTCTGATCATCAGCTGTCTAATGAAGTAATAACAGGTTTAAAGGGAAAGTTCACTCTGAAATGAAAATTCACTCATTATCCACTGTGTGTTTGAGTCCACAAAACAGTTTTGGAGTTTCAGGGGTAAACTCGTAACCACTTCTCCAGATGTAGTAAAACAACAGAATAAAACATAACATACTGCTTGTGTGGTGTCATTCCAAGTGTCCGTAAGCCCTGACATTCAAATTCGACTCATCATTTGCATCATGTTTTTAGTCTTAATGTCTGCTGTTATCCTCAGCCCGGAGCCGCGTTCATGTTCACATGCACGAGCTCGCTCCTCTATGCTCTCGCTCTTTTTTTATGTTTGAAGACGTGGTCACCAGTTACTCTAATCGTGTTCGATTTGGCTGCAACACTGTTCACCCCTGAAATTCCTTGAGTGTTTTGTGGACTCAAACACTTCACCCACCCCTCCATCAGCAGTTAATTTTCATTTTTGGGTGAACTATCTCTTTAATAACCAATGGCCTCAGGGTGTTTATGTCTGGAACATTTTGTGCTCTGCTGTAATAATGTGTTGTATGTGTTGTTGTTAGTATTATAATTTTTAACATTATTGTGTGAAGATATGATGTTAAAAGGTCTGAATGTGCAAAATGGAACTAATGACCCACATTTGAGAGTCAGAGTGATGCAGATTTATAGACTACAAGCTACTGATTTTTATTTGTTACTGATGCTGCTTGTTGCTCAGGTTATTTCAGATCCAATTTACACCAGAACATGTCGGATACATCAGCGCTATTTTTTGACAGCTGTGGCTCAGGAGGTAAGGCGGTTCATCCAATAACCAGGGGGTCAGCTGTTCGATGCCAGTGTCCCCCATTCTGTGTCACACTGTGTGACAGATTCTGAACAACAAATTGTGCGGGCAGTGTATGAATGCTGTGCGTAGTTGCACTGTCTTGCATGTGTCATGAAGACTAGAAAAGTGAAATATAAATACAGACTATTTATTTACCATTTATCAAACTACATCCTGTAACTACCCATCAACCCTATATTGCTTTGTTGTTCTGGAGTAACAAGAGAGGAAGCAGATACTTCACTGAAATGCAATATTTACTGAGAGAATCAAGTTGTTACGTTGTTGTATGCCTTTAAAATAAAGAGTCATATTTTAAAGGACTGAGCACAAATTCAATGAGATGTGTGATTAAACAGCATCTGCATTCAAAATTAAAACAAGAACATGATGAGAAAACACAGTAGCTAAATCAAATAAGACTGAAGAGCAGAAATCTATGAGGATCTGGGCTTTATTTCAGTAAGCACATTTTTGGTTGATCATTTGGTTTATTTTTTTCCAACAGACAACTTATTTCATCAGTTTTAGTCTTCTAACTTATACAAACATGGTGACAACTACTTCATATGACATGTATATTATAGGGTATTTGGTTAACAGAAGAAAGTACAAATAAAAAACATTTTATATACAGAACATAGACACAGCCTTGCATATGTACGGAGCTAAAACGCTTGATACTTGTGAGGGGAAAAAAATCCTGACGTCTCTATGTACAGCACGTGTTTGTAAAACGGCAGGGATTTCCTTAGTACAGAGAGTAAAGGCCTGAGCAGGCACTGGGAATATCAATGAAAGATGAATAATCTGGCTTGTTTACAGATATTTAAGTCATTCAAAACAAAGGAAACCTTTCCTATTACAGGTTGCTTGTGCTGTGTGTATCGCTTTTTATTGATCATTATTATTAACAGGAATTTGGACTCGACAGGAATTTTTGGCTGAATCAAACTAAATTTGGTCTTTGAGACACTGATGTTCTTTTTTTGAGTGTCAAAAGTAAAACAGTGGATGATTGTCTGTGTTTACAGAGCAGTCACACAAAGCTATGCTCAACATGAAGAAAGATAAAAAAACAAAAACATTATTAAACTGTACTCACCCCCAGACTTGGTTTATGAATCATGAGAATTTAAGAAGGTGCAGAGTTACACTGATTGTAGTTAAGCAAAAGGCAAAACTGGTTAAATGATTGTGGAAGAGAAACTATTTAGAAAAGAGGCCGTTTAAAGTTAAAAACATGTACCTCTGTAACATTCAGAATCATTGAAGAAGTGCGAACAGTATTCATGTAAAAAAAAAAAAACACAAGAAAAAAAAGTCTATGTACATTTCATCATACAACAAACTAAACCTGGTGGCACAACCGTACCGAAGAGTGTGACGGAGCGATTATGTTTTGGAAAATGTCTCTCAAGCCTATAGCGGCACCATCTGTGACAAATTCAGATTTTGTTTTAAAATCAACTCTTTCTGTAACAGTAACTGTCTTCAACATATATAATACATTGACTGTTCTGTAGTAGAAAGATGCCTCTGTGCAGGTCTTTCTACTGTGTCATTTCCTTGGTGTTCGTCTTTCTACTCATGCAACAGTATTTATAGAAGTTGCCCTTTAGCACAGTAAAAAAAAATGCATGAATAAAAAACAAATAAAGCAAAAACTAATTAGGTTTGCTTTGAGAATAAAAGCTTAACTTAATGTGACCCATCGTATTAAAAAAAGTTGAGTGAATGGTTTCAACTAGGAGTTAGTATCGGCAGGCTCATTACATTAAACAACATAAAGATAGCACATAGCAGGAAGAAATAACAATGTCCTCCAATGTCGATACAGAACGTCTGCAGTCCATGTCAACAGTCTGTTTCTCTTATGAAACTCCAGCTGATCACCATCTGGTCAAAAGTTCCGCGATGATCCCTCAATAAACTGTTTGTTTGGAGCCAAAGCCCAAAAAGAAAAGTCCTGACTCAGATAGCAGAGGGTTGAAGTAACTGATTTTAGCTCATGATCGACTCCACAATTTTTGGTGTTGAGAACGTTTGATATCTAGCTGATAATACTCGATGACGTTTTAAAAACTATACACAGTTTTCTTAAGTGCAAAGAGGAGAAGAACACAATAAAGGTGGAGGTGACCGATAATAAAAATCAAGATCATACAAGAAGAACTAACAAGAGGAGATGAGAAAAGCACTGGATGAATTATTACGTGTTGTTACTCAAACTACAGAGAACCCTAAAGTCCGTCTATTTGTGCTTTCCTCTCGGCTGGCCTACGCAAACACCTGCATGTTTCCGAGCTGAGGCTGTTGAGACGCCTGCTGCATCTGCTGAGACTGAGGCTGCGGCTGCACCTGCTCTGGAATGTGTGTGTGGCGGGATGATGGCAGTGCGTGGTGGGGGTTCCCCAGAGGGGTGGGGCTGGTGGTGACATCAGACCAGTCTGAGTTGGAGTGCGGCGAAGAGGACGACCAAGGGTCTGGGGACTCCGGTGAAGGGGTGAGATATGGGTGCTCGCTGGGCGGGTGGGCAGAGTGGCCGGGAGTGGTACCCTCAGATCCAGCAGTGGCGTAGCTGTGCTGGGAGGGGGGCGTGGGGTATTTATCCACAGGGCTCTGCATGGGCGGATAGGAGGGCAGTGATCGAGGCTGGCCTTCGATCCCCCCGTGGCCGACGTTGTGTGGATGCTGCAGGGTGTGGGGGAGCCCGTGCGTCATGCTCATCTGCTCAGGCATCTGGTACATCATTCCCTGGGTGCAGTGGAGGTGGCTTGATGACTGCTGGGGGTGAGCCTGACTCTGGTTCTGCCCCTGGGATTGTGTGACTTGTACCTGCCCTGGCTGAGGCTGCTTCATCATAGCCTGGCCTCCCCCGGGAGCCATCATCTGGAAGGTGACAATGGGCGGCAGCTGCTCTCTGCTCATGGTGACGTTCATGGGCGTCAGCATCGCACCCTGACCGTGGTGTTGGCCCATGCCTGGGTGAGATCCCCCCATCTGGTGTGGTACGAGACCAAACATGTGGCCGCCGTAGCTGTGTTTGGTCATGCCCACCCAGCCCTGCTGCTGCCCCAGCATGTGGCTGACAGGGGGCAGCATCGGTCTGGATGTAGGGCTGCTCAGGAGGGGAGGAGAGTTTGCTGTTGAGGAAACGGCGCCGGACACTTCGCCTGTGTATGAGTGTGGAGATTCCAGTGAGTCGACAGGTGACATGGTGACAGAGCTCTCTGGAAGTCCTCCTGCTGCTTTGACGCCATTTGCACTCCCTCCTCCCACTGTAACTCCCCCACTTACTCCTCCGGCAGCCACACCCGGCCCTTCGCCTCCCGCAGGCTTCTTTCTTCTCTTCGCCTTCATGTCTTTCAGCTCCTTAGCTACCCCGCCAACACCTCCCACCTTTGCTCCACCCCCACCCCTCCTGCTCTTCTTCCCCTGTGGCCCGGGCCTCATGCCGATGAAGCCCGCTCCATTGGCACCACACATAACAGAGTTTCCTCCTCCCATGTGGTTCGGCCCGTTGTGTGGGCTGTGAACCAGATTGTACTGGTCAAGCAGACGAACAATGTCATGATGCATCCGTTCTTGAGCAGTGTCACGGGGCAGACGATCCAGGTGATCGGTGATGTCACGGTTGGAGTAGTGGTCGAGAAGAACCTGAGCTGCCTCGAAGCTGCCTTCTCTGGCTGCCAGGAAGAGTGGGGTCTCCTCCTGAAGGAAACACAAACGGATAAGTACATGTATAACATACATAATATATGTATCAACACATAGGGTAAGCAGTTCAGTACATTCAGTCTTTTCAGTGATGTGCAGTGATAAAGTAGGAGCCTCAGAGTAAGTGCAATCATGAAGACTTTCTCTGTCTTCATTCGCAATTATCTTCCTCCCTCTCCACCTCTTCTAATCAGCTGACTGTTTGGTGTTTGCAGCAATCCAATCAGATCTCAATCATCCAATCATGTCATTGCTGTCAGGATTTAAATCTGTTCTCCTCTCTGTCAGCTGTCGTTTCTGTGATTCACTGAGACTCTCCTCCTCCTCAGTCACCTCCAGTCTCCATATCCAGTGTCAACTTCACCTTGAGAACATCACGATGGGTCTAAGCAGTAAATAGTCTCATTTATTTCACATCACTTTCTTCTCTCATTGGGCATGGCCAACACATTTCTTTCT